GGAAGTTTCTGGCTGTGTCGTGTGATGCATATTCATGTGATGTTTTGGTGAGGCTAGACCCATGAGAGGACACATGATGTTTGGAGAGAGTATAAATAGGACTTTAGAGACAGTGACGGGTGCGCTTTTACATACCTAGCGTTCTTGCAATGCTTTATTTGATCTTCACTTTGGTTGCAAAAGGCTCGACAGAGAACTTCTCCTGGTGCCCCAGCTGGTTCTGATCACTGCCACTGATTCCTGTGGATTCTGCGGAAGCCTGGCTGTTTCAGCCGGATCCTGCCACTGCTGCTGATTCTTGTTTGGTATACTGACACTACTGAACTGGACTGCTGGTATCCTAACAAGGGGAGATTGGAATCACCCTAAAGAACTACTTCTAAAAAGGTCCACATCACATTCCCCTATTTACCATCTTTTCTCTCCTACCTTTTGGATGGTTAGCTAGAAGCTGGGAGAATCAAAGCATTTGAGAACCTTTATTAAAAGTAGGTTTTGAAAAAAACCTCAGCCTTCAATGAGAGCCCTCTTATAATCAATCACCTCTCCGGCCACATCTAGAGAGCAACTTGGCAATAGGCAACCCTCTGATATCCTACATCACGTGGACTTGCTACATCCCTCCAAATGTTTAAAGCTTTCTCTTTTCTCCAGAAGGTGTTAGGTTTCAAATCTTTGCTCCAGTTCCCCAGGCCCTGGGATGTGAGGAGCAGCAGTCAAAACCAACTAATATGAACACGGGCTTTCCTGGACAGCAGAGAGCAACCCCAGGTTCCTGCAATGCGTTTTTCACACACTTCATCTGTACCAAGGAAACTTGAAATTACCATAATTTTGTTTAAACTTAGGTTTGGGTTATTAGACTTCATTTCTTCTCCATTGATTGATTCATCTTACCTGACACCACACATATGGATATTAAAACAAAAAGCAAACCAAAACCTGGGCTTATGAAACGACTCTGTATCAAAGTGTTTGTCCTGCAAGCCTAGCAACTGAAGGCAGATCCCAAATCTAGTCAAAAATGGTCAATATTGCTAGGATAAAATGATAAAGGATGACATAAATTTGGCATAAATATAGAATATTCTACAGCAATTAATTTTATAGCCAATCATGATGGCACATACTTTTAATCCAAACCCCCAGAAAGCAAAGGCAGTTAGATAGATCACCATGAGTTTAAGGGCTAATCTGGTCTACATCACAGAGCTTCAGGCCCGGTAGGACAGTAAGACACTGTCTCAGAAAATGTTTTTAAAAGAATATTTATTGGCTAGATGGTTCTGTGAGTGGCTAAAGGCATTTGTTGCCAAGCCTGATAGCCTGAGTTTGATCCTGAGAGGATCAAACAAGTTGTCCTCTTATGTCCACATATAGGCAATGATGCGCACAAAACACACACACACACGCACGCACGCACAATAAATATATGTAATATATACATATAAAATAGTAATTTTATTTGTATATAATCTTTATTTATATAAATAATGTAAAATACAATTTTTTTAAAAGCTATTTGAAATAGAAAAACCTTTACAAGGCGAAGCTGTTATAAGAGCATGTTCAGTCTATCATTTCTGCATGGAGGATGTATAAACACACACAGAAACTAGCAGTAACACCTTTTATTTTCTTCGTGCAAAAGTGTTTTCCAAAAGTTCTGTATCAGATGTGTGTCAGTTTTGCAAACAGAAAAGAGCACAAAGGCTGCTGGTAAACAAGCAGAATAAGAAGGGATACGCTGCAGCCCTGGGGGTGCCCTGTTCGTGCCTCGTGTGAAAGAGGGAGGCCTGAATTTCCAGAACTCATTTTCTCCCTGGCCAGTTTCTTGATGTTAGATGTTTCTTAATGGCTTCTAGAGACATTAAGAAAATAAATAATGCTCTTTGGCCTCAGCGGTAGAAGCAGGACGGCGAAGGGAACATCATCCTTTGGAAAGCAAATGCAATAACACACACACACACACACACACACACACACACACACACACACACAGCCAACCCATGGCAAATATGGCTATCCTGCCAAGCAGAAGAGAAAGTATAACTGGAATGCCAAGGCTAAGAGACGGAAAGCTACCAGCACTGGGCAGATGAAGCACCTAAAAATTGTCTATCATAGATTCAGATTCAGATACAGGCTCCATGAAGGAACAACATCTAAATCCAAGAGGACAGTTGTTGGAACATCCAGTTCATCTTGAGGATTCCAATCAGTCATAAAATAAATGTTCTGGCTTCAAAAAACGAAACAAAAACAAAACAAAACGATGGTGAGGATGTGGACAAAAAGGAGCCCTTACCCACCGCCGGAACAGAAGTCACTCTGCTGTGAAAAGCAGTGTGGAGATTCCCACAAACTAAAAAGACCTGTTAAACGAACCAGCTATACCACTCCCAAGTATTACCGAAAAAATCCAAGTCAACAAATCACAGGGAAAGTGCAGACCCATTTTCGTTTGTCAACAGCTAAGTCGGGTACCAGCCTATGTATAAGCAGAGGAGATAAGGAAGATGTGGATCTTTCCAACCATGAATGAGAGGCTAGGGAGATGACTCAGTAGGTACGAGTGACTCCTCTGAGGGCACGAGGATCTGCACTGGACCCTCCAACACATACACAAAAAGCTGGACACAGGCATAAGTGCCCATAACCCCAACACTGGGGGCAGAGACATGTAGATCCTCTGAAGGCTGATTGGCTGGTCAACATCCTAGCTAAAACAATGAGCTTCTGGTTCAGGGAGAGATCCTAACTCAAAGCAAAAAGGTGGGGAGCAATACAGAACACACGGCATCTTATTACTCTGACCTATATACGAATGCAGTGTGCACACACCCACAGGGACACACTACACATACACAACACACACAAATACAATAACATTTAAAGAATGAGGTGTCATTCACAGGAAAACTGATGAAAGCCTGTCATACAGCACAAACGACATCTCAGGAAAACCAGATCTCACTTTTTCTCCTAACTACAGATGACATGAGAGTAGATGAGACACTGTAGAGCAGCCGTTCTCACCAGGGCTCCTGACACCTTTGCGGGGGGGCAGGTCAAAGGACCCTTTCACAGTGGTTGCTTAACAGTATCAGAAAACAGATGTTTACTATTCGTAACAGTAGCAAAATGACAGTCATGAAGTAGCAATGGAAACAGTTTATGGTTAGAGGTCATCACAACATGAGGAACTGTATTAAAGGGTCACAGCATTAGGAAGGTTGAGAACCACAGACCTAGAGGAACAAAGGAAACTAATGGGAGTGAGTGAAGCGGGGGAGGGGAGTGGTTGTGGGGCGGGGTTACAGCTCAAAGTCCATTGTATACTTGCATGAAGATGGCCTTCAGTATAACATATATCCTACAACAGGATTAGTGGCTTTTTTAGGAAGAGAAAGGGATTTGAGTTTATTTGTTTGCTCTTTCCCTGCCACGTCATGATACAGCAAGAAGATCCTCCCCAGATATCAGCACCTAAATACTGAATTACCAAGCCTCCAGCATTGTGGGGGAAAAAAAAGTAACTTCCATTTCTCATAAATGACCTAGGACTAGGCATTCTATGATAAAAGCAAAAGCTGGGACTACAATATGGTGTCTAGATGCAGTAACTCCTGGAAGGAGCACTAACCCTTTCAGGCTGAAGTGCATTTGTAAATTACCACTACAGGGTAATTTCCACAGGACTGAAAGAACCAACTCCATCTACCCCAGGGCTTAGGAGTAAAATTCTAGAATGACTGAGCTAATCCACTCACAAGTCTGTCCACTACTTTTAAAAGCAAAGATAATTACAAAATTCATACATACCAATAAATGGCCATGATGAAATAATGCTCGACAGAAAAAAAACTAACGAACTAGAATAAAAAAAAGAAATATTTGCTAACACATTACACATATAATGCAATAGAGAACCAGACAAATTAAGTGTTTTGGCATGGAAATTACACTGAAAATAAAGTCAGCAACTCTTTTGCAGTACAGCATATTTGAATGGACACTTTGGGGCCTAGGGATGCAGATCAGTAAGTAGGTAGACTACTTACTTGTCTATCATACATGAAGACCTGGGTTTGATCCCTAGCAGCACATAAACTGGATATGGTGGTGGGTATGATCAACTGGCACTTGGGAAGTGGAGGAAGGAGTATTAAAACTTCAAAGCCACCCTGGACTATGTAGTAAGTTCAAAGACCAGACTAGGTTATGAGATTCTGTCTTTTAAAAAATTGAAAGTATTTTCTTTCCCAAGCAGTGAAATCAATGACTACACTCTGATATAGGAATCAAGGTAACGTTTTCATCTCAAACTGTTGTGAAATAAATGGTACTATACTGCATATATACCACACTATATAGTTATACATTATTCAAGGAATAAGGTGTTAACCCTGGAGAGCCATGGACCTAGAAGTCGTTACGCTGGCACGTCTACTGCTAAAGGCACTGGGGCAGTATTGAAAGGACCTGACATTTCACAGGTTTTCCTCTTAAAGCCCCTGTAATGGGGTAAGAAAACCAGTTGCTAACATGCAGGTGCTGTTTCCATCAGATCCCAGTATGTCACTCGGAGCTCTTACACTGACACCTGGCTGCCTTATGCTCACAGAGGGCAGGCAGTGATATCTGGCTGGTGTTTCCACATTGTCCATCCAGTGTCCCCTGTAACTGCAGAGAGCTACAGTAATCACACCTGGCCTTCCATAGCTGGTGTGTCACTCTCCAAGCAAAAGGACAAAGCCCACACTTCAGAGACCAGAAGTCTCCATGTGCCTCACAGTCCCACACACTGGCCATCTTTAGCTCCCAGGATACAACACAGAACTGAGCACTGCAGCATCTCAGGCGGGCCGACACACAGGATTTGCAGGTCAAACAGCATGAATCCTGTTTCTTTACACTATGAATTAACTGCTTTCAAAGGACAGCAATGAGGAAGACAGCTCCATTCAGTAATAAAAGTCTTCTTAATAACAGATCAATAAAATGTGAATAAGTTATCTTTTTATTTTTCACAAATAAAAATGACAAGTGACATGTAAAGGACATGACAGTAATCCAATAGTAATGGTAAGAGATGAGCCGTCTCATAGAGACAGAAGCCCATGAAAAATAGAATACTGATTTTAAGAAGGACTGTTAAATAAATCTGGGAATAGTATATTTTAACTAAATCAACAAATCAAGGTTGAGCACAGGTCAAAACATCATCTAGAACCCATAAAGTGATACCAAAGGAAGAGGAAAATCTGGGATTCCACACACAGGGCTCTTGATTGAAATCAGGGAAGTTCAAATCCTAAAACAAACAAAAAAAAAAACAAGGAAAAGAAGGTTAAAAAAATGCTCCCATCAAGTTACACGGACACATTTCTGCTTAGTTCCCTTCTTTTCAGCTGGGGATGCAATGAGGGTCTTACACATGCTAGGCAGTGCTCCACCTCGGGGCTAGCTCCTAGCTCACGACAGACATTTGAACGCTTTATCCAATCAACACATTTTTTTTCTTACTCTTAGAGTAGTTTTGTATGCTATAAAAAAGGTCACAAGGTACATGAGATGGCTCAGTGGATAAAGGTGTTTGCCAACAAGCCTGATGATGTTACTTCAATATCCAGAATACACATGGCAGAGGTTGAGAATAGACTTCCCTAGGTATGCCATGGTAAGCACATGCATTCAGACACACACACACACACACACAGAGAGAGAGAGAGAAGAGAGAGAGAGAGAAATTAGAAAAATTTTTAAAGATTTTATTTAGGACTATCTAAAGATTGATTTCTTTTTAATTTCGTGTTTATGCATGGAGCAGGGGAGGGGAGGGAGTGTCCATGCAAATACAGCTGCTCTAGATGTCCAGAAGAGGGTGTTAGAGACTCTGCAGCTGGAGGTACAGGCAGCTGTGAACCAACCAAACTGGATACTGAGAAGTAAACTCAAGTCCTCTGAGAGAGTGCTATGTGCTCTCTAAGAAAGGATTTTAAACCAAGCATAGTGGCTTATCCCTCAGGAAGCTGGGACAGGAGAATGAAGAGTTTGAGGCTAGTCTAAGCCATACAGTGCGTTTCAGTCCAGCCTGGACTATACAGTGAAAATCTGAAAACTTTCTGGATAGCCAGTTTTATATTTTGCAGAAATGGTCACTATTCAATCCTATAACAGTAAGATAAACTCAATAACTGCAATGTGAGAAAAATAATCTGCCCATTAGGCAAACTTACACTTTACATTCTATTTACATATCACAAACACACAAAACAATGTCTCTCCCTTCCTCACCTCTAGAATCAGTCTCTGAGACTGAGTTCTACGATGGTGGTCTGGACGTCTAACCTGCCTTCTTCAGCCTGTATGGGACAGTTGGACAGCTGAAGGTGGGCTTCGATATAAAGAACAATACATGCCATCTACATGCTTTATAACACAGAGAACGAATGTACCAGGAAATGGATTTCCTAACCTACCCATGTCCTTCTGAGAAAATCTGGACAGCACTGGAAAACTATTAACTAGACTAACACAGTAAACGGAGTAAGTCTTTGAGGTAGGCAGATATTCAGCCAGGAAGACTCTAGCACCTCTCAGTCTAGCCAATAGGTCTATTATAAGCTGAAATCAGTAGGCTCATGGGTTGGGTAGACCCAATCTTTAGCTTAGATTAAGTACTTAGAGGCATTAAAAGTTTGGATGTTCCAGCTTTTGAATTTAGAGAAGAAGAAAAGGAGATTTAAAATCCTATTAATACTGGACATGTTGGTGCATACCTACAGTCTGAGCACTTGGGGGTGCAAACATGCGGACCTGGAGTTTGAGGTCATCTTGGGCAACATAGCGAGTTCCGGGTCACTCTAAACTGCCTACGGACACCCATCTAAAAACCAAGACACAGGATGTGGATGGACCTCAGCTGTGGAGCACTTGCAGGGCATGTGCTAGGCTCTGGGTTCAATCCCCAGCACTGAAAAAAAGAAAAGAAACAAGGCCATCAACATTGAGTCTTGGTTAGGAGAAAGGTTTGGGAGAGCTAGCGGCAGCTGATGGCTGTGGGAGCAGGGAGACCTTGTCCCTAGCAGTGTGATCACTGGTGCTAAGCTCTGTCCCAGTAATGAATGCCCCATCCAATGTGTCACAAAACAAAAGTAAAAAAGACAGGATAATGGGAGAGAGACCTGTTAGGAGGAAGGAGATGAATCAGTGGGGATGGGAAGTGATGAGAGGAAGGGGAGGAGAGGGGAGTGTAATCAGACCACAGCATGTCGTATACATGTGTGAAATTGTCAAAAAAAATTAGTTTCTTAAAGACAATTAAAATTAAACAAAAAAAGAACACTTCTCAAAATCAAACCAAGAATCAAACAAAAGGCCAGAGAAATGGACAAGAGAAAGCACTTCACACAGAAGCTCATATAGCACGCCTTACCACAACCATCATATAATAATTTCATGGGGTTTTTCTTGTGAAAATCATATTTACCAAAACAAAGACTCTGTATAGGACACTGCAGGCACTTGAACAGTGTAAGAACATTTTCAGTGGACTGGAGACAATCACACACACGTGGACCTGAACTTTCTGATGAAGGTAAACAAAAGGCTTGGAGCACGAAATGATCTCTTGAACCTTCCCATGGCTCTTCCAGTCTCTTAAGTCCACAAGAAACACAGAATTAAGGTGAAAGAGATACATAGCACTTACTGTTCCTCTTTGTAAACACTTATGGATACAACTGTGTTTTTCTAAATGTTTCATTGGTAATGCTGAGTCTTGTAAGTCTGGTTCCATAATAGTCTATAATGTAACTACTTCCATCTGAAGGGCCAACAATCTAGAAAAGATAAACATTTTAAGTTATTCTTACAAAAGATATTTGAGTTTACCTTTGTTAGTAAACAATAAAATTATTTCAGTCACCCACTTCCCCCTCCCCCCTAAAAACACCAAATCTAAGAAAAATGCTGAGTAGGTGAAGTGGAAAGAGGCTCACAGGATAAAAAGAAACACTGCAAGGACTGGGTTTCCGTCCAAATTCCAAACTGCGTGCCCCTTGCTCTGGCCTCCTTACCCCTATGCTTTGCTCCTGCTCTTCCTGTAGGCTGGCAATGCTAGAACCATGTATTCCCACCTCAGCCTTTTCCAATACGCTTCACTGCCCAGCTATTTACACACCAATTCCAGGGAAGGTCTTTCACAGATATATTTGTGGTTTATGACTATGGCTGGATAATGACTATATCCAAGTACATAAAATCTAGTCTGATGTCTAGGCCAGACTCCTAGAATGAGATGAGATGGCAATGTAACTGACTACAGCTACTCAGAATGCAAAGGGAAGACGCTGAAAGAACACTCACACGCTGGGGATGGAGGGAAGGCTCAGCAGGTAAGAACACTGACTACAGAAGACCCAAGCTTGGCTCCCAAAAATCCACATAGAGGCTCACAGGCATGTGTAACCCCAGTACCAAGGGATCTGATGCCCTCTTTGGGCCATAGGCACTGTATGCACATGATGCACAGACATACATGGAGGCAAAATAATCATACATGTACATTATAAATTTAAAACATACACATGTCCACTACATCATCTGTCCACTGTTAACCACATCAGTATAAATAACAAGATTTTACAGAATATCATTTAAGACAGAAATCTCCAGGCCAGTGAGATGGCTCAGCAAGCACAGAGAAGCTTTTTACCAAGCCTGATGGCCTCAGTCTCATCTCTGGAATCCACATGGTGGAAGGAGAAAAGTAACTCCAGCAACTTGTCCTCTAACCTCTACATGGCATGTTGCTCCGTGTGTGTGTGTGTGTGTGTGTGTGTGTGTGTGTGTGTGAATAACTGCAGCCTTAACAGCAGTAAACAAGAATTTGCCAAGTTGTATGTGGGACCTAGGAAGTTTTATAGGTATCAATACTCTGTAAAACTAATCTGCCTGGTACCAGACTTCAGTAGACCTGTTTCACTATTTTTCTGTCCTGTGTCTCCTCTCATTGTGGTCATTTCTCCAAGCAGTGTCTGAAAAGCTATCATCAAAGCTTTACCCCAACCCTTACAATAACAACTGCCCCGAAGTATAAAAACCTGAGGATTTTTGGTCCCTGGAGGTTGGTGAACCAATCTGACAATTTACACAGAACTCTGGCTTTGGCCTCAACTGTAGCTATAAAATACCTAGCCCAGGCTGACCTTGGGCCATGGGAGTTTATTTTTAAAGTCCCAATGAGCAGTTGCCTCAGATCCAAACACAGGGCAAAAACTACTGACAGAAGCCAGTGAGGTTGGAATGACATGCTGTTGGTATTTTGGCTGCTCACATCAGTATTCCCTACAGTCTATGGGACATGGAAACTGGAGGGACATGTAAGGACATGGTGTCCTTGCAGTGCCGTGACATTAGAGCATCAGGACAGGCACGGTGGAAACGGTGGTGCGGCAATAGCTTCATGCACATTTAAGTCTCAGGACTCTGAGAGTGCTTGTCTGTACTTTCCAGGTGACTAAACGGGAGCCTGTACTTCCACAGAATGGGAGTAGCACTCACTAAGTGAGGAGCCAGCACCCGCACCTGACAGAAACCCTTGAGCTCAGATCCTTATAATAAAAGGAGGCGCTGCCGAGGGAGTTCACACAATACGGTGCTTGGTGATAACTTTGTTGAAGGTAGTTTCCCTGAGTTTGTCAGTAAGTTAGAGTTGGCTGTTGTTTCTAAGGTGTTTAAAGTGGCACTGTATTTTAAGGGCATTTCTGATAGCTTATTAGAGTCTACTGGTCCTGGAGTCGTGGGGAAGTTTTCATGTGGGAAGAAATGCAACAGTCTATCAAATGCTTTGGGCCTGCAGTGTGCTGGGATAGACTCATTCCAAGTGCCCAGTCAGCATGTCCACCCGTCAAGGCCCTGTCAGGCTGTATGCCAGTTACAAATACCTCATCTTCCAGAACCTCTACATAAAGCCATTTAATATTTTAAGTAAAAACAAATTATAATAGCTTCTGAAGAGTTTATTCCTTTCTTTATAAAGTAGATGACATTTAAATTTTGTGGTATTTATAGTCTGTTGGATACATTTAAAAATTGATGTAACAGTTTTATTTAAACATGTCAATATTTAAAATTACATCCCATGCAACTATTTAAATTTATGGTAGAAAACTTAAATGTCAATTTAAAAATATGCAGAGGGTACAGACTTAAAAATATTCTTCTAAGGGTTATACAACTGGAGTAAAAAAAGCTGTCACGAACACTTCTCATTTAAAAGTGATTTCAGGGCTAGGAGTTGTGATGCAAAACTGTAATCCTATCACTTGAGACATGGAGGCAGGGGAATCACCACAAGTTCAAGGTCAACCTAATCTACACAAAAAAACTGTTTTACAAAAACAAATAAACAAGGATTGAAGAGATGACTCAGAAGTTAAAAGCAGCTGTCTGTCGCTCATGCAGAAGACCTGGCTGTGACTTCAGCACCTACATGGTGGTTTTACAATCATACACAACATCAGGTCCCAGCTATCTGACACTCTCTTCTATCCTCGACAAGCACCAGAAACACATGTGGTATATATACCTGGAAAAAAAAAAACACTAATACACATAAATCTAAATGATAAAAACAAGAGGACTTCAGTTTAAAAATAGAAATATAGTTCACTCAGCCTCAAAAGCTAAAACAGCTGGATGTGGCAGTGTGCAGCTGCAGTCCCAGATACTGGGAGGCTGGGTCTAAGGCAAGAATCCACAGGAATTGAACTGCTTGAATTAACAACCTTGAAGCCAGCCTGGGCTACATAATGAGAATACATCTCATAAAAACAAAACCTCAACTCAACAAACACTTACTTCCTACACTATTCCAGGAAGGCCCAGACTGTCAGCATGTAACAGTGATAAGACACCATCCTCGCCAACAGGGAGCTTCCTCTAGTGGATCCAACTAATACTTACACAGCTGCTACTTACACATGTCACTGCTGCTATGCATGCTGACTTCATTCCTAAAGATTAAACTAACTTGTCTGACATTTATGGATGCTATGTATAAATTTAAGTAAAAATTAATGCATCTGTGACTTTTTTTGTGGCTAGGGTCATGAGGAATTACTAGGAACATTAAGCTAAGAGAAGAATAGATAATTAGAAGAGGGAGTATTCTGAGACTTTATTAAGAAAACAAAAAAGTGAAGCTTAGCTAGTGGAAGGGGGCCAAGTAAAACTGTAAAAACATATCTGGGAGTGTGTGATCCAACTGGAGCCCAGCCTTTTGCTCTACTTTTCTTCCTGTACTATTTTCCCTGATAACTGCATTTACTCACTGAAGAAAAATACACAAAAGTTAGAAATAAGGTGATAGGTGATTGAGTGACTTTTTAATATCTTGCATTTCTAATAAGCCCATGTGCAGTTGGTTTAAAGCACAGATGTTTTACAATATGTCAGCCACTACTTACAGAAAAGACTAAGAGCTAGTCCCTCCCCTTCCTATATGAAGACAGTACTCAATAGTTTACATGAATATGGTTCAGAATTGTGTATAACTTAGAAATCATATTATAGAACATTTATTTTGCCTTGAGTTATTAATGTTAGTTCTTCAAAGTTCTTTGTCATACACGCAAGTGAACAAGAGGGCCAACACATTCTAAAGGTCACTTTTGGGTCACCAATATGACTCAGTGGATAAAATGCATTAGCTGCCTACCCAGACAGCCAGAGCTCCTTGGAGCCCACAAGGAAAGAAGACCCAACTCCACAGAATTGTCCTCTGACCTCTACATGTATGTCATGATATGTGCTTGCACACACACACACACACACACACAAATGTAGAAAAAATTGAATTAAAATTTAAATTAAGGGGCTGGAGAGATGGCTCAGTGGTTAAGAGCACTGACTGCACTTCCAGAGGTCCTGAGTTCAAATCCCAGCAACCACATGGTGGCTCACAACCATCTGTAATGAGATCTGATGCCCTCTTCTGGTGTGTCTGAAGACAGCTACAGTGTACTCATATGTAATAAATAAATAAACCTAAAAAAATTTAAATTAAGAACTTTCTATAACACACATTAATGTCTCCTAAGTACAAAGCCCTAAAGCCACAAAACTTAAACCCAGCAGTCTCTTATAGCTTCTCTAATAAATAACTACAAACATTGTGAGGTAGCAGACATTTTTAGTTCTGGAAGATAAACGCTGCAAGCTTCTGGAGTGAACCAGCATTCTCTAGCCAACAATCACACCTCAGGGTCTCCTGTCAAGCTCTTTAGCGTGCCTGCATTAGAAGTAACACTCACAGGTCCCTTTAGCCTGGCCATGGAAACGGAGGTACACTGCAGACACCGTCTTGCTCTTTATCCTTGATGCTCTTGGTCTGATTCTTGACAGTCCCGTCCCCATCAATACACACTCATACCCACCCCGGTCCACCCTCCCACTCACAGGTACCTACACACACAAAAGGCACACACTGGGCTACCATGTGATTTGGATCTGTACTTATTCTTAGAAATGTGAGGTTCTTTGAATAAATATCTACAAGAGCTGTAGAAATGCCTCAGCAGTCACGAGCAGAGGCTGCTCTTCCAGTGGGCTTAGGTTCAATTTCTAGCACCCATACAGTGGCTTATAACTCTTTGTAACTTCAGTACCAGGCAATTCGACACTTGTTTTTGGACTCTGTGGGCACAGGGATGCATCTAGTACACAGGTATGCATGCAAGTAAAACACTCATATACATAAAAATAAATGATTAAAAACTATTTCCTAAAATTTGATCTCGTAATATTGTGCTACTCATCTTCATAACTGAAAACTCTTCTTCTTCTTTTTTACTTATTTGTTTATGTTCTGGGGGGGATATAAATCAGGGACTCCTGTATACTTGGTGGGCTTTCTACCAAGCAGTCTCTTCAGTGTTTTTACTTTATTTGGATACAGGGTTTCATTAACTGACACAGACCATCCTTGAACTCACTTGAGCCTAGGTAGGCCTTGAACTTCAACTCTTCCTGCCTCAGCTTCCCAAGTAGCCAGGATTACAGGCCTGAGCCACCAGATCTAGCTAAACTTATTGTCACAAGTAAACCATGATTTTAAGACATTTTCATGTTGCTGTATAACACTTGGGTAAGCATTTTCAATCCCTAGTTCCATATTCAAGGAAACACACACACACGGTGGTGGTGGTGGGGGGAATAACAGGATGGATGGATGGATGGAGAGAGAGACAGACAGACAGAGAGACAGAGTCCCACTCCATTCTTAAAAGCATACATCCAGTATACTTGAACGTACATACAGTGATGGTTGCTCAGCATTACTGAATGTAATTAATGCTTTTGAACTATTCATTTAAAACAGTTTCACAACTTTGTTAAATATTTTACTGCATACAAACAGTTTACCTGAATTTTACTAATGTGTCTGCAACTTAGAAGTATTTGGTTTTATTATTGTAAAACAAAATTTTCTTTGTGTATATTCAAGTGGCATTTCAATAAAAATAAATTAAATTAAAAAATGTAGGTAGCTAAGTACTTCATTACCTAAATTTCAACAACATATTCAGACCCCAGTTAACAGACTGAATTGTTGATACCAAGCTTCTTAGCCCAATTATTCTGAAAATTTAAAATGTCATGAATGGATTCAGAAACAAAAAGAAGGGTTGGGAATATAGGTCAGTGGCAGGGCATTTATAAATAAAGAACCACAAACAAATGAATAGATAAGCACTAATTATTTTCTTCTTTTTCTTTTGTTGAGAAGGGTCTCATGTGGCCCAGACTGACCTAGAACTCCTAATTCTCAGGTCTCAACCTCTCAAGTGCTAAGATTAAACAAGTGTGCCATTTCACACAAGTTGGGTTTTATTGTTTGTTTATGTGTTTGTTTTGTTGAAACAGGGTTTCCCAGTGTAGCTCTGGCTGTTCTGGGATTCAGTACCCTGCTTAGCCTCAGCTCAAGATCATTTTGCCTCAACCTCTTGAGTACTGAGATTACAGCCATGAGCCAACATACCTCTTTTACTACTTCTAACTTTCTCCATTAAAAGACTGCAAATATTAACACTGACAGAACAAAACACTGACCAGATCAAACCATCTCCCAGGGAGCTATTACACTAGTGACAAAGTAACTGTGTCAGCTGTCTACGGTCAAACGACAACCATGCAGCTCTGTCCATTCCGATCCCCTGGACAAGCTGACTTCTATCGTGTGCATACTGACTTCTCTGCAAGTTTATTTTTTTATATAAGAGCATGAGAACCATCTTATCAGAGTCACATTTTAATTAAGATCAGAATATCTACTCAAGTACAAGAATTTACAGATTTGAACCACTTGACTTCATTCCTTCTAACAACTGGTCATTTTAATCTAAATGACTAATATAAATATTATTCTCTAAGTAGTAGCACTTACTATGATGTCTCCTTAGGAAAACACAACTTAGAGATTAGTCAGACCAGTTTTAAACATTTGTCACTAAGCCACTAAATATCCCCACAGAGTAAGTGAACTGAAACCTACCTAACAGTCAGAGAGGGAACAGCACACATTATTAGTCACCTCAGTTTTCCAATTTATTTCCCACATAAATGACACGAGGATTTGGTGAATGACACGAGAACTCGTGGACAGATTTGATATTTAGTAACCTTCCGCTTTTCTGCACTACTGTCTCACACCGAGCACCTACTGAGTGAGCACCTACTATGCTCCAGCACTGGCAGATTTAGGAGGGAGCACATTAGCTCTCCTTTAGTTAACAGTGTGCATGTCAAAGGCTGAGGTGCAGTCAGTGTAGCACTTCGAAGAACAGGCTGTCTTTCCCCAAAGGTAACCATAGCTCTTACATCATTTATGTTCTAAGATAAACTGAAAAGACTAAGATCTTTAATATTTTAGCAAAATTTGAAAAATTATTCAAGATGAAATTAACATTTTTTTTTAGTTGGTTGTTTTGAGACAAACTGTCCTGAACTTACTGTGTAGCTCAGGCTGGCCCCAAACTTCTGCCTCAACCTCCCAAGTGCTGGGATTACCAGCATGAGCCACCATATGGTGCAAAAATCAAGCTCCTTTTATTTAAGGCCTTGGTTCCTAAGGAAATATTCCATTAAAAACTAGAATCTATTATCAGACCTCTCTAGGGATAGCTAGATTAGAGTCCTCTAGGAAAGAACTCAACTTCTTATTCCCGAGCGCTGCTCACTAAACCTGTCTAAATGACAGCATCGGACCTACTGTAGAGAATGCATTTATTTCTAATTAGACTTATTCTGTGTGGGTAGGGCTGGATGGCAGGTGTGAGTATGTGTGCCATGGCATAAGTGTGGACATCAGAGGAAAACTTAGAGGAGTTGGTTTCTCTTCCACCTCTAGAGGCAGAGACAAGAAGGTCAGGAGTTCACAGCTAGCCTATGCTATGTAATAGTCTCTCAAAAACAAACAAGGTGTGTAGAATTTTGGATATTTTAATTTGAACAATACCAACAAAACATAACTTCATTTCATCTTCATTTAAAATGAAAAGTCCGTCCTTACACCTATATGCATAGGTGCCTTTGGCTCTCATGCATGCACTCATTCAGTTAGAGGAAACAGGATGTCTGACTAGGCTTGTGTGTAAAGGCAGGAAAAGTCTAACTTTAAAAACAAATCTTTCCCTTGTCTGACTCTTTGCTGCCCTCCTCATAGTGCACTGGCTGGCTTTAAAGTACGCAATACTACCAAGCAGCCAGGCTGAAGAGCGGCAGTGCTGAGAAGACAGAGCAACACATAATGATTTAAGTACACACTGATACTCTCAATCAGGACACTAGGTGTTCCATACACGCTTGTCGAAGTGCTATTTGCCAATAGCCATCCCTGCCTCTAATTGAAGAAGTTTCATAAATAATCACAACCCATTCAGTATTTAACAGAAAACATCTGGTGGCACTTTTAAGTGCTTAAGGACAGTATCTCATAAACTGTACCACTTGCCAAACCCACTGTAGCACAAGAAGGTGAGGCTATCACAGAGAATATAGAATCAGTATGGATTTGGTTTTGCTCGAGGCTCTCCCCATTATGAGAAACCATGCTGAATACCCATACATTCCTTTGTTCCACATCCAGTATATTAGCTAGATTACAACCTCTGTCATCTGCACAGAGTGCAATTCACAGAGGGTCTATGCACTTCAAAAACAAAACAAAACCAAACTCCCTGACTTCTGCCCCCCGCCTGTTAGTATGTATACCAGAGCCCATCAATGTATCCTATTCCAGCGACTGACAAGATTATCAGGCAAGTAAACAGTAAGTCAGAAAAATCATTGCAACCCGCCTTAGAGACTCGTTACAGAACATGTCATAAAATCATAAAGACTTCAGAAATTTCTTCAGTAAGGAAACCTCTAACCCACTTGAACCCATATCTACAGGTATTTCTGAACATGGAGTCCCTTTTGAAATACGTACCCTATGGCTTTTAAAGCTACTGTTTCAAATGTTTACTGAAAGTCCAACCACTTAGGCCCAGCATCTACAGAGAAGCTGTGAAGCATTTATTTCCTAATCTATCTAAGTGTCACACTTCCCAGCAGACCACCAAACCCCTCACTGATTATAAAGACAGTCTATGATCCAAACTGAAACTCACTTACCTGCATTGAAATAAGAACGAAATCAATTAGGCTCCCAATTCCGCAAAATCCTACAGTACAAAACTTTAACAAGCCTAGGAAAACATACAGAAAGTAGTTTATAGTCTAGAAAGTCTCATAAATACTTAAAACTTCTATTTTTCTACCAAACTATTATACACTCTATAGTATGAGAAAAAGTATAATCTTAAAAAATCAAATCTCACCTAAAAAGATACAAGGACGTTTTAAAGGAACTTCGTGTACATAAAGTGTCACAAAATAGTTTAATAACTCATATAACAACAACAACAACTTTAGTAACTAAATGAAAAACAACATGCTCTTACAAAACTTAAGAAAAATCAATGTTTACTCCCCCCCACACCAGGGCCGGGGGAGAGCTCCATGTGCCTGGCCAGCAAGCACGAGGGTCGCAGCACAGGCAGAGCCTCAGTACCCCAGAGCTGCAGACTACCTTATAGCAGCAAAGCCCTTTATTGATCTGATCAGACAAAATACATTATGCGATGTAAATTTTACTGAGCAGAGTAGAAAGTTCAAATCTATACTATCAAGCCACAAAAAAATGTCCAAGAAAAATAAAAGATTTCCAAATTTTGACTAGTAATTTAAATACACATAACTCATCCTAGACCTTTTAAGGTTTCTGTTTATTAGCTCTATAGTCAAAGGTGGCACATATCTTTAATCCCAGTACTCAGGAGGCAGAGGCAGATGGAGCTCCACCAGTTTGAGGCCAGAAGTTTTGCATCAGCAGTTAAGCACTGACTGCTCTTGTAGAAGAACCGGGTTCAATTCCCAGCATCCACCTGGTGGTTCACAACCATTTGCAACTCTAGTTTCAGTGACTCTAATGCCCCCTTCTCCTTCTTGCTTTTTGGCCCCAAGAGGAGGGGTTGTTGAGACTTGGTTTCTCTATGTATCCTTGGCTATCCTAGAACTGGCTCTATAGGTTGGCTTTAAACTCAGAGATCTGCTTCCCTCTGCCTCTCAAGTGCTGGGATTAAGGGTGTGTGCCACCACTGCCCAGCTCTGATGCCCTCTTTTAACCACCAAGGGCACCTGGTATATACACACTGTACACATACATACATGCAGAAAAAAAGTCATACACATAAAATATAAATAAGTAAATCTTAAAACCAATCCTTCTCAAATTACATCATGAAACAGAAAATAAAGGAACACTTCTGAACTCTTTCTACAAAGCTAGTATTACCCAGATAATAAAACCAGATGAAGACATAACAACAAATAGAGATCAATCTTCCTGATGAACAAAGATGCTAAAAGTCTCAATAAAATACATGCAGGTTGATCAAGTACATGTCAAAAATACTATTCACCATGATCAAGTTGACTTCATAACAGTAATGCAAGAATGGTTAAGTATATGCAAATCAATGACTATAAGATCACATAATCACATCCACAGATGGAGAAATGGTCTTAACAAAAACGCTGCACCCTTTTATGATAAAAAAAAATCCTGCAAAAAGATTAGAAATGGAGAAAATACATCAATACACTTACGGCTGTATATAACAAACTATAGACTCAACACCACTGGAAATGGAGAACCTAAGTACTCACACTACTTCACAAACAAGACAAGGATGCTCACTTTTCTTGTCTTATTCAATACAATACTTAAGTCTTAAACCAGTAAGACTAGAGAAAGAAGTAACAGGGGAACAGAAAATGAAGATGCCAACTTTCCTACATAAAGGAGCCTAAAGACTACCCAAAAAACTCTGGGAAAGTTTCAGTAAAGTAGCAGTCTACAAACTTAATACAGAGCCAATTGTGGTGGCTCACACTGGAATAGGAAGATCAAGAGTTCAAGGCCAACCTGGGCTACACAAAATTAATATAGAAAACTAGAAATTGCCCAAGGAAGGATGCTTGAATCTCACTCAGAAGAGAAAATAAAATAGACATCTGAAGCAGATGGAGGGGGGAACTGGGTGGGAGAAGAGGTGGGGACAGGAATGGGGTAGAGATCAGTTGTGGGGAGCTGGGGAGGGCTGAGAGAGAGAACAGAAATAGAAATGGCTCTGGAATGGGGATACTCCTGGGAGTCTTTTGGAGTAACCCTAGCTGAGAAACCTAGCTGTGGAAGCCTCAAGAGGCCACCTCCTATAGCCAGGCAGGACCCCCAATGGAGAGAGGGGACAACAACCCACCCACAAAACTGTCAACCCAAAGAATGACCTGCTTACAGGAAGTCCAGGGATAAAGATGGAGCAGAGATTGAAGAAATGGCCAACCAATGACTGACCCAACTTCAGATCCATCCCACAAGAAAGAGCTAATCTCTGACATGATTAATAACATTCTGCTATGTTTACACACAGGAGCCTAGCATAACTGTCTTCTGAGAGGCTTTATCCAGTAGCTGATGAAAACAGATGCAAAGACCCATAGCCAAATATCAGGTAGCCCTCAGGGAGTCTTGTGGAAGAATAAGGGGGAAGGAATGAGGGAGTCAAGAGTTGTCAAGGACACCACAAGAAGACCGACAAAGTAAACTAACCTGGGCCCATGGGGGCTCACAGAGACTGAAGCACCAAGCAAAGAGAATGCATGGGCTGGAACTAGGCCCCTTAACTCATATGGAACAGATATACAGCTTGTTCTTCATGTGGGTCCCCTAACAACTGGAGCAGGAGTTGTTTCTGACTATGTTCCCTTTCCTATAGCTGGACTGCCTTGTCTGGCCTCAATGGGAGAGGATACATCTAGCCCTACTATGACTTGATTGCCAGAGTATGTGGGTATCCATGGGGGGCCTCCCCTTTTCTGAGGAGAAGGAGAGGGAAGAATGGGGGAGGGGTGTAAGGGTGGGACTGGGAGGAAAGGAAGGAGGGGAGCTGCAATCAGGCTGTAAAGTGAATAAACTAATTAATGGAGAAAAAAATAAAAAGTTTAAAATATAAGATAAAAAAAAGAAAGAAAGAAAAATAAGTTAGAAGCCTTCCTATATTCTATTAACATGTTAAGGAAAAAAAATACAACTCTATTCTCAATTTGCCTCAACAAAAATAAAATACTTTAAAATAGACCTAACTAAGGGAGCATAAGATTGGCCTACTGACAATTTAAAACACTGAAGAAACAAGTGAGACACTACTGGGAGATGCTAGAAGACAGAGACCTCCCGTGCTCAGACACTGAAAGAACTAACACGGAAAGAGTCCACCTTATCAAACTCCAAAGATTCCATGAAACCCAAAAAATTCACTAAGTATCCTCCATGTGACCTACCTACACCACTCCTTCGTGTTTATCCAAAGGGCTCCAATATTGCCCGCTTTGGCTGGCCTGCAGAACTGCATACTCTCAGCCCAGAGAAAAATGTGCCTATGCAACTCACACAAATCTTGTATATGGAGAGATTTAAACCATAGGCAAATGCACATTTAACACAAACTAAACAAGTTTCACAAGAATTTTTTTTTTTCATTTTTGGGTGAAGGATACTCACCTAAGGCAGGATATCCGAGGTAAAATCGATCTGCTCCCAGCCATCCCAAAAAAAGAGATAATGCAACTGCTACTTTGTACGAATAGCCATTCCTGCATAGAATTAAAACCTCAGTGTCACAGCCATGCACTGCCAACAGGTGAACATTTTAGGAAACAAGCCTGTGAGTTATTACTGACTGACCCAGTGGCTCACTCACCCACGCGTTCATTCATCGTTTTGGAGGCTGTGGAGCACTATGCTGGGCTTATAGTAGACAATGAATGCTAAGCACTATGTGTTGTTTGATGAATAAAAGCAGCGCAGACCTCACTCCCTCAGAGACTTACATTTTAGTGGCAATCAGCAACAATCCAAATATATTTTAAAATCTAAGTGTATAGTTTGTTAGAAAGTTACAGATATTATGAAACAAGAGAAGGTAGAGCAGATGTTTATCAAATCCAGAGTGACAGAGTATAGAGAAAGTCTGAGTGATTAAGTAGGATGCTGTGTCAGTCCCCAAAAGGAGCAGCAGCCGGTACAAAGCAGTACACTGTATGGGCTGGGCATGGACTAAGGCCTGAGGAGAAGCAGATTGAGGAAGAGAAAGAGCAGCCACAGTGAGACAGGAAAAAGCATCACCTGTGCTGCTAGCCACCACCAACACTTCAACTTTCTCTCTGAGAGAAATGAACACGTCCAAGGATTTAACAGTGTGACAGGATCTGCACAATGTCACAAGCACATCATAAAACAAGCTCCACACTCAACGGCCTACATAACAAGCTAGTATTCTCACACCTATACGGGCAGCCTGGCTGTGGTTCGCACCTGCTTCAGCTGACTGACTTCCTTGGGCTGAGGTACCCTGATTCCCATTGAGTCATTCCCACAGCTACAGATTCCCATTGAGTCAGTAAGATTCTCTAGGGCTCAAGCTGAAAACATGGCAGACACTTGTGGCAAGTTCTTTTCAGGATTATCTCACCAAAATACAAAAGGAGAGTTGAATCTCACAAACACACTTAAGCCTCTTTATGTCTGTCACTCATTAACCTTAAGCTAAATAAGCAACAGAGCCAAGCCCAAAAACAGTGGTATGTGAAATATACACTGTCCTGTTAATGGAGTCTGGGGGCTGAATGTCTGCTAACAAATTCAAATTTGAGCATGAAGACAAAGTGTTTTAATGCTTTTCAATCCTCAGGTGAGAATTACTAATGGCTTGTCTGAGTGACAGCAAAAGGACTGCTGAGAGTCATCAGATTCTGGATATATTGAACATATATGCATTTTCTAATATTTTAAATTTAGGGTATAAAAAAGAAAGAAAGAAGTAGTAACAGCACTCCAGATTTTATCTTATGCATTAGGAAGTTGAAGAAAGCTGAAGGGGAAAATGCAGTTGGATGGTTCTTGAAAGGGAAATCAAAATTTAGTTTGGACATGTGAATTTGAGATATCTATGAGATAGATCTTCATCAGGGCTGAATAAAAGTTACCTGAACATACAAGTGTGGATTTATTTTTAAGTCTAGGATGGAGACAGAAATTAAACAGTTAAGTTACAAACATATAGGAAATACTTAGTGTCATGAGATTGAGGGTACGTGGCTATAATCCCAAGCATGTAAAGATGGAAGCAAGGGGATCAAGATTCCAAGATCAACCCTGGCTACACAGCAGATATGAGGCCAGAACAAAGAAGTGAAGGAATTCGGTAGACACTAAGAAATCAGAAGCAAGCAGACTTACAATGGAGATTAAGGGGAAAGGAGAGAATGACTCCAAAGCTTCTGATTGGCTACTCTGTGTTATGGGGGGTTTTTTGTTGTTTGTTTTTTCTGAGATAGGGTCTCACCACATAGTGCAAGCTAGCCTCGAACTTATGATCCCCTCCCCCCCGACTCTGCCCACGAAGCACAATGCCTTAAGAAACAGCATATAACAGGTGCCACTCACTGAGACAAGTATCACAGGAAAAAGAAATTGTGTTCAGTTTTAGGTATCATAATAAAGATGATCACATATAAAGGGTAGATAGGTCAAAGATAAAAACAGGGACTCTCTCAAAAAAAAAATCTAAGCCTAATCTAGGGCATATACTATTGTGTCCCTCACCAGTCCCAAACCTGATGCTGCATGTCCTTGCTTAAATCTTCTGCATCATAAACAAACAAAATACAGGACCAAGAATAGTGTTTGGGGAATAGCAGCAATTACACAAAAAGCTAAAGTGGCTGGAGATGGCTCAGTGGTTAAGAATATTGCTGTCCAGAGGACCACAATCCAGCTCACAGTACCCACATCAGGCAGCACACAACCTCCTGTATTCTAGCTCCAGGGAATCCAATGCCTTCTTCTGGCCTCCACAGGCACTCACATGTAAACACACACACACACACGCACACGAGAGAGAGAGAGAGAGAGAGAGAGAGAGAGAGAGAGAGAGAGAGAGAGAGAGAGAGAGAGACAGAGACACAAAGAGACAGAGACAGACAGAGAGAGAGACAGAGAGACAGAGACAGACAGACAGCGACAGAGAGAATCTTTTAAAAAAAAAAAAAGGGCATAGTAATAAAAGGATTCTTATTTGAGTTTCTATGAGAAATCAAGAAAAGAAAGTATTTTAAAAGAAAGAAATAGCCAGTGTTGTAGAGTGACTTTAATATGATGTATAAATAGCATTTGATAGAGAAACAAGTATTATTGGTAAATTCCAGTATGGTTCTACTCAGAAAGTTTAATAGTTGATGAGCAAGTATTATAGAAACAATTATTCAGAAGTTTGGTGGGTAAAGGGAATAAAATATAACAGCATAAAATAATATAATAATAATAATAATAGAGAAAGAGAAAAGCCAGGCAATGGTGCACACTGGTGGCACACGCCTTAAATCTCAGCACTTGGGAGGCAGAGGCAGGTGGATTTCTGAGTTTGAGACCAGCCTGGTCTATAAAGTTCCAGGACAGCCAGGGCTACACAGAGAAACCCTGTCTTGAAAAAGCAAAACAAAACAAAACAAAACAAAACACCCCCAGCAATTAGTTATGTATGCAAACCATGCTGAAGAACCACCCGGAGTGGCAGGAACTCTTAGTCATTCACCAAACCATTTCTAATTTTCTAGTCACCTGAACTACATTTCCTAGCTGGCCTTGCAATTGAGCGTAGCTATAACTGTGTTCTAGTCAATGGAAAGAAGGCCGAAGTACAAGCTATTTCTGGATTTCCTCCTTAAATATACTTACAAAGGGTTCCCTCTCCTCTCTCCCATCTATTGTGAGAATGGAAAGGACTCTAGAGGAAGCAAAGCCATGGAAATGCTGGGTTCTGCATGGCTGTGTAGGACCACCAGCACCTGTTCATATCATAACCCAGAACTCTAAGGCAACCCAAACTAGACCACACCATTCATGAAAAAATAATTCTTACTGTGCTAAACGACTGAAATTCACAGCAATTTAGCCTGCTCCAGCTAACACAGATGACCAGGATAGTTAAGCGGCTTAGTAATCAATAGATGTGGTTACTAGACTTCAGTTTCTGAAGACTAGATTACAGAGTAGCTATCTATAATACTGAAATGGAATTTTAATTAAATATTAATATTATATAGTTTCAAAAATATACCAGCAAGAATAGGAAAAAAAAGAAACCATGTCAATGAGAAAGGAATATCCAACAAATAAGAGTTTACCAACGAGCCTACTCACAGCCGGCCTTCTGCTACACACATACTGTGCATCCTGATGAAGGAAATGTGACACAGCAGGGCATGCTGGGTGTGCAGCTCTTATATTAAAACTACTAATGGAATCTCGTGTTCTGATACAATGTTCATCAAAAGATTGTATTTGGAATCTGGTGATTTTGCTGTGAGAGGGGAATAAATTGGCTAGTAGACTGGAGTGTCTGTTCTCCTTAATGATTATGTTATTAAAACTGACATCAGTGCTTTATAACCATAGTTAGCACAGCTTGGTCTCTCTCAGCTTAATCTACCCTGAGACACTGTAATAAAATTCAGACTAACTTGAAACTAGGCAGTGAGAATAGTTACTGTGACAGGCAATCTGAGAGAGGTGGGGTTCTCAACAGATGCATTTCTCAGCTGTATTAAGGGCCATGAAATCTTTCTCACACCTGAACTTAATATTATTTTTTCTGTCATTTGTGATGCATAAGATAGAAATACCAACCTATAATTTAAAAATTGAATAAACAATACCTAAGCGCTAGGAAGCAATTTCTTTCAATAATTTTTGCATTGCTAATTCTAAGGATTCTGAAAAAAGTTGTAGAAAAATCCAAATATTACTTATTTCCTAATATGACTGCAAAACGTATCTTCAAATAAAATATGACCATTTATAGTCCTAACTTAGAGACAATACCGGAAGTGAAAGAAGGTGGGAAAAGTAAACATGTCTTCAGTTCACAGCAGAAAAACTGAATGTAAGCTTTCTAATAGGAAAAAAAAACCCACTCTCTAAATAGAGGCCATTCCTTTATTATCCCACACTCATTCAGCTTCTGAATTCTGCCTAATGCTACTGTTCATCTATTACAAAGGATGAAACTAGTGTGTGATGGTTAATACTGTCAACTTGACAAGATATAGAATTACCCAGGAGACAAACCTCTGGCCATGTCTACAGGAGTCTCTAGGCTGGGTCAGAGTATGAAAACCCACCCTAAATGTGGACAGCACATTCCATGGGCTAGGGTTCTGGTGTGAATACAAAGACAAGAGTAAACTGAGCCCTGCCTTCATCCCACTCTGCTTCATGACTACTAACACCAGGAGAGCGGCTGCCTGGAGCTCCTCCAGCAAGCTGTCCCTGCCACGATGCCTGCCTGTACCCTCCTGCCTGTGACGGAAAATAAACTCTACTCTGTAAGCTGCTTTTGTATGGTATTTTGTCACAGCAGTGAGAAAAGTAACTAACACAGTGTATAAACAATTAACACTGTTTTTCTGATACAATAAATAAATATCCATTTGCATTTATATTTTGAAAAAAAATTTATGAGTAACTCACTTGGTGATATCAGCTTACTTTCCAAGGCCTGAGTCAATTTCTATCCTTTATTACCTCACAAGTGAACCCAGCTCCTGGCTGATGAACTGTATCTATAAACTTAAAATAGAAGGTTGTCTGCCGTTAGCAAGAAGATATATATTATACTTGCAGGACTTCCCATAACATCCCATCATCGTCCACTTCATGAAATCAAGATAAAACATTTTAATTTTCAGTAATGTACTTACACATTTCGGCAAGATATGGGCTTGAGAAAACCAACTTCCTCTCCAGTAAAATGTGTTTCATTACCACTCAAATCCTTACAAGTTATGTTGGGCGCTGGAAAACATTGAACTAAAGACAGAAAAGTGAATTGTTTTTCAAGACTGGCAAAGCACAAAAGAACCTATAGTATAACAAACTACCTCCCCTTGTACCTTGTAACGTCTGACAGAAGACTTTAGACAGGAAGTTAAAGAATTCATTCATATACATATATATATATATACATTTATATGGAAGATAAATATGATAATGTTCTCTTCATATAATAATACAAATATTGCTATACTGTTTTAGATGTGTCCATGGCCCATCTAGTTTAGTCTCTTGCCTCTGATAACAAAGAACTGCAAAATATTACTGATTTAAAATTTTTTCATCTTTAAGATAAAGAATACTTGAATTTTTATTGGCAATCCATTTGGTATTTATCAAGTTATTTTAACAGAATCTATATATCTCCAGCTTTTATTAATTATTTGTGATGGTTAATCTTGACTGTCAACTCTGTGCATATCTGAGGAATAACATGAATTAAAGTTAACCTAGTTAGGGAAGACCCACCCTAAACGTGGACAGTATTACTCCTTAGGCCAGGATGGTAGAAGAAAGTATAAAGGAGAAAGTAAGCTGAACTCCAGCACTCACAGCTGTTTCCTGACGATGGCACAGTGCAGTCTGCTGCCTCCTGCCCCTGCCATCACACCTTTCCTGCCACCACAGACTGTGTCCCCTGAAACTCGGAGCCAAAATAACCCTCTTTGTTTGTTTTTATCAGGTATTTTGCCACAGCACAAGGTAAATAACTGATGACACTATTACAGACAATGGCTGCCATACATATATTTGTGTCACACACACACACACACATATTATATAGAATAATATATAGGATATATATTTTAGGTCTTGGTATAGTGTTATTTCAGCATTTAGCGTATCAGTCTATACTCATAACCCAAGACCCAATATAAACAAGTAGTACAGATGCTACTTTGTGCCAGGTGTAGACACTCTCCCAAAAGTAAAGCTTCTTTAGGGTTTTATGGTGTGAAAAAGAACTTAGAAGTAAGGATGACCTTATCTGGGTTATTTTTGTCTCCTTCAGCCCTTGGCCTCCTTGTAGGTAAAAATAACACTAAGATCACCTACATCATAGGGCAGTGTAGTTAAATATATCAAACTATGTACCACAATGTCTATAGCATTAGCGGGCACTCAACACATTTTGTTTGTTTGTTTGAGATCGGGTCTCATGTAGCCCAGGTTGGCCTCAAATTCATTTGGATGTGGCAAAAGTTTACCTTGAAGTCCATCACTTCTCCGCCTCCAATCCCAAGAGCTGGGATTAAAGACATGTGATACCATGCCTATCTGAGGAAACATTTTCTTCCTCAGTATCTGTGTGCATGCGTGCACACTCTACTATTAAGATAAATTCTATCAGTGAGTATTAAAAGTACCAATATTTTTATAGTAGTTTTAGCAAATACTTACCTCTATATTTACTATCAACAATCATGTTTTTTAATGCTAAAAATAGAACTTTGTGTAATAAAATACACACAGAGATCTGATGGTTTTATTATGAAAGGAATATTATTTTCTGTTTGGTTTGTAACTATTCTAAGATTTCCAACAAATCAGCTTTTTGTTTTGTTTTTTTGAGCCAGGGTAGTACATGAAAAGTGTCAAAAAAAAAAAGGGGGGGGGGCTGATGAGATGGCTCAGTGGTTAAGAGAACTGACTGCTATACCAGAGGTCCTGAGTTCAATTCCCAGCAACCACATGGTGGCTCACAACCATCTGGAATGGGATTCAATGCCCTCTTCTGGTGTGTCTGAAGACAGCTACAGTGTACTCATAAAATAAATAAATAAATAAATAAATAAATAAATAAATAAATCTTTTTTAAAAAGCTCTATGAGAGGCCCATATCCTCCTCATAGTTTAAACACATCAATTCACATGTGAAACACTGCAGTGACTTGTTCTGAATCATGATCCAAAGGACACAGAGTATAAAACCTTTCAATAAAAACTTACAAAACAATTGTTTCTTTTTTCACATAGCAGCTTTCACTATGACTCAAGACAAGGTTCACACAGTGCTAGGGTATATAAAGGGCAAGGAATGTCGTCATCGGTGAAGTACTTGGCTGACATGTGCAGGGTCCTGAATTGAATCTTCCAAGACAGAGCAAGAACAAGGGAGCACTAGAACTGCATCTGGAGCACAGGCTGGCCTCCAACAGTCCTCCTGCTTTAGGCTCTGAGTAAACTGTAAAGCACAGGCACTGCACATGGACAGATCAGTACATCTGTCTTTTGCTCTCTGTTTCTTGAGACAGGATATCAATTTGCAGCCAAACTCATCATCCTTCTGCCTCAGGCTCCAAGTGTTAGGAACGTGTGAGCCACCATGTCTAGCTTAGATCCATGATTCTTAATTGGGGTGATTTTGGCCCCCAGAAGACATCAGATAATTCTTGAAGGTATATGAAGGGAGAATGTGAAGACACTCAGGGACATGCATGGAGGTGGAGGCAAGGATTTAGTTGATACAAGTGCAAAACAGCAATGTCAAGAATCACTGGCTAGTGATGGCACAGCAGAGGGAAAGGGAAAAAGAATTGTGCTCTAGAGCCAGAAAGGAGCAAGGCTGTAAACACTTTGATTTCAATGTCAGATTCTGAGCCCTAAGAGCCCACATAAAGATGGCCAAAGTGCTACAAAACTGTCCTATGACCTCATGTGCTGTGACATGGGTGCATCTGCACTTACACACACTGACTTAGAGTTTCTTTGCTGTAATAAACACCATGACCAAAATCAACTATGAAGGAAAGGGTTTATTTCAGTTTACAGTTCCACAGCATACTCCATCTCTAAAGGAAGTCAGGGTGAGCAAACTGGAGGCAGGGGCTGATCCAGACCATGGAAGAGTACTACTAACTCTGTTCCTCATGGCTTGCTCATCCTGCCTTCTTAAGCTGCTAGGACCACCAGCCCAGGGGTGGCACAGCTCACACTGAACTGGGTCTTCCTCATCTATCACCAATCAAGAAAATTTACCACAGGCTTGCCCACAGCCCAATCTGGTGGGGGGATTTTCTCAACTGAGATTCCCTCTTCTAAAATGACTCTAGTTTGTGTCAAATATTCAGTCTCTAAAATAACTATAGTCTGTCTATAATATTCAAGATATTTCAACTGCATGTACTGTAAATTAAAACACAAGTTAAATACTTTTCTACTCCAAAAGAGAAGAACCAGGGCACAGTCACAATCAAATCTAAGCAAAACCAAACTCCATCAGTGAAACATAAAGCTAATTATCAGACTTCTAATAGGCCTTCAAGGGGTGGGCCCTGGTTGGAGGACGTAGGTCACTGGGGCATGACTTTGACTATCCCTTATCCCCTTATCCATCCTTGCTCTGCTTCTAGGCTGCCAAAATATGAACAACTTGTACCAAGCCTTTCCATCATAGTACCTCGTAGGCTCATATATTTGTCAATTCATTAGGAATTGACACTATTAAAAAAGGGTTAGATGTGGCTTTGTTGGAAGAAGTATGTCACTGGGGGTAAGGTTTGAGGTTTCAAAAGCCTACTCTAGACCCAATGTCTTGCTCTCTGCCTGTGGACTGGGATGTAGCTTTCTGCTCCTGTTACTGCACCATGCTCCCCACCATGATGATAATGAACTAAGCCTCTGAAACTGTAAGGAAGCCCCCGACTAAACACTTTCTTTTATGAGAGTTGCCTTAGTCATGATGTCTCTTCACAGCAACAGAATAGTGACTAAGACAGCATGGCAGTGCACACCTTTAATCCTAACACTGCGGAGGAAGACGCAGGAAGAGCTCTGTGATTTCAAGGCTTACACAGCTACACCCTGTCTTAAAAAGAGAGAGAAAGAAGAAGAAAAAAAGAAGCAAAACCCTAACTAAATAACTATATTTCTATCTGCATAACAAAGCTTGGGAAGCAGAAGGCTAGAAATATTTAAAGAGATAAATATGGTTATCCTGTCTTAAATATTACACACACACATAAAACAATTCATCATACAACTAATATATACAATAGTTATGTTTTCCTAAGTCAATCAAACATAAAATTAAATAAAAATTTAAAAACATGATCTATTTAACAGATTCTAATGTTATAAAGTAAATAAGCATAAAAAACCCTAGATTATATAATTAAGAAAAACTGTTTCTTAAATAGTGACACTGGGTATAACTCTGGAAGAACATGCAAGGACCTCTGGGTTCAATCACAAATGCAAAATTAATTAGTTAATTAACCAACTAATTAATTGAATATTGACAATTTGAATCAGTTTCCAAATCTAAATTATTCTAAAAACTGAACAATATTATCTAACGCAACATAAAACACATTTATTAATTACCCTTAGGGGTAACGCACTGTCACTTGAAATAGGTAAAATCTTACAAAATATTTTAAAAACATGATTCTGAAAATCTTACCATGAGCTGTGTAGTTTGTACAATTAACTGGTTCTTGCGTAGCATCATTTATTTTTGGTTCTTTACAAATATATGTTTAAAAAGTTAAGGAAATTTGAATTATATTTCTAGAATAAAATAGTATGTTTTAAATGTCTTACATACTCCTATTGATTCACATGTACAGAGAGGCTTTGAGTTTGTACTAATCAACAAACTCAGACACAAATACACTTTTAAACCTGGTATGATGGTGGATGCCTTTAGTCCTACCATTTGGGAGGCAAAGGCAGGTAGATCTCTCTTGAGTTCAAGGTCAGCCTGGTCTACAGAATGAGTTCCAGGTCTGCCAGGGCTATGTAGAGAGACTTCATCTCAAAACAAAACAAACAAATAAATAAATAAACCCAAATATACTTTTAGAATTCCCCAGAGAATAGCTGAAAATTAAATTACTACATGGAAGTCAAAAAATAAATTTCTATCAAAAGTTCTAGCAGATGATACCATCTTCAAAGAACATCAATCAGGGAAATAAACAGAAAGCAACAATCAAATTAAAAATCTTCACCAACTTACTTTAAGTTTAAAAACAAATCAGTTTCCAGAGCTCTGGATTCAAATAATTCACCTTAATTTCATGTAACATGAATGAATGAGAAAGATATTGTTATTTCTATGCCACAGAAGCACAAGCTGAGCTTTTAACTTTGAGTGGCTTATCCAGTCATGTAAATGACAGGTAGCTAAATCAGATCTCCTGACTCAAAGCTAGGATACTTTGCATCTGTTGTATTTGTTATCTCTGTGGTCAGTGCCACCAGTAGGATCTTAAGTTATTGAAAACCACTCTCTAATAGATGCTAAACCAATAAGAATGTTTTTAAGTGTTATCGTCTAAAGATTGTATGGTTCACACTCCAATGTAATAGGTATGGTACATACACGGTGTCTTTAGTCACAGGTTGACCCTTATTTGGACTTTTGAATCACTTCTGGAAAGGTCATCTTTAGTTAGGCCATTATGGCAGTGTTCAGTTGTCACCAGAGTTCTACAGCTCATAATCAGATCCAATACTTCTTAGAAGGACACTCTTGCCTTTCCTAAGATGGTGCTAAACTCACTATGTCAGAAACTCCCTGCATGACGGAATAAGCAAAGTAAATTAGAGGTAGTCTGTGAAAAGCTAATAGATGTTCTCCTTAACTCACAAATATTACAGAATTTTAAGATTCTTCTCAAGACTCTTTCTTGCTTTTGCAGGTTTGAGTATCTGCACACAAATGTTTGAGGCATTGTGTCAGTACTCAAAGTTTTGTTCAAACATAGCTACGCTAGTAGAACATGAATTTCACCTTGTTTCTCTGTCACATGCTATTGTAAGAATTCACCTAATCCTAAATCAGATTTCTCATCTGTAAACACCCAATGAAACGGCTGTGCTAATTAAATGAGCATAAATACTCCTTTAACTTGGGGGTCACTGTCATTAGTATGTTTTTGGCTTAAATTATTTGCTTATTCAAAAGCACCCACCCCTAACAATTGCCAATTGATGGCTGCTAAGTTTAGAGAGTCATAGTTTTAAGTCTCAGGTAAGGCAACCATGCTTCAGTGGATTGCCCCGCACCATTAAGGATATAAGCAACATACCCTGTGTTAGTTTTTTTTTTTTTCTTTAAAGTATGTGTGGTGGGGGGTGAGGTTAAGAGGGAGTGGAGGGAAGACGATCTGGAAGGAGTTAGAGGTTGAAAAGTCGGTGTGAATATGAACAAAATCCACTGGGTGAAAGTCTCACAAAGAATTAATACAAATATTACATTTTAAAACATCCAAGAGGATCTCTAATTTTAAAACATATAAAAATAATTTGTCTAAAATCACAAAGTGAAGCAGTCAGTTGCCTGGCAGCAGTCCATCTGAGGATGGCTGTAGGTGACATACGTTACGTTAATGACAAACGAAAAACATTGGCTCACTAGTAACTCCTTGTCTCCCGCAACACCTGCAAACTTTCAGGGACGCGTCTAACAATGTTTGCATTTCTAGTATCTGGGACAAAGCCTGGATGTGTGTGTTTGAGTGAGTAACCCGGTAAGATACATGGTCAATCGGAAAAGGAAGTGTCAACCACTGGCCTGTCCAGGGGAAAGCACACGGTGCTCACCCTTCGACCCCACAGCCCCCCTCACCTCCCGGGGTCCATTGATCACTAGAGCCACAGCGGAGGCCACGGTCCCCATCCCACAGCCCGGGGTCCTGCTGACCGCCTGAGAATGGCGGCTTTCCAGAGGATATTGTCCCACTCTGAGGTCCTCACACTTGGGTGTCTCCTCGCCTCCGACAGCGCCAGAGGCAGCAGCCCCGTAATGTCCCGCGGCGACCGTCACGAGCCACAGAGTGCGGAGGAGGCCTGGAGGCCCCGCCGCTGGGTAAGCCCGACCCGCGGGCCAGGCGGCCGCCATGTTGGGCACCGCGTCCTCGCGTTTCCGGTTCCGTCTCCGCGATATGGAAGAACCTTAAAGGGGCCTTGCTTCCGTGGCGCAGCTTAGGTCTTCTAAGGCTGCTTCCTGGGATAACTTGGCACAGTCAAATAGGCGAGATTTTTTTTTTATATATGTTTGCTTGTCATCCTTAAGCAGGGACCATATTCATCTCTGAATTGTTTAAATTTTAGTATATGTACTGCCAAAGCAAACATGGGAACTTTAATAATAATAATAATAAACAATAATGATAAACATGCCCCAGGTCAGGGAGACTGCTCAGTGTTAGCAATCTGTTAAACCCCACCTCCACAGTCACCTGGCAACAGCCAGGTACGCTCCGCCCCACAGTTACCTGGCAACAGGTAACCCTGCCCACTATAAAAGGGGCTGCTTGGCCCCCTCCTCTCGCTCTTGCTCCTCAACCCTGAGCACCTGCAGGTTGTCCTCTCCCCTCCCCCCTTCTCTTCCCCCTCTCTCCATGTGGTCATGGCTGGCCTCTACTCCTCTCTACTTCTCTCTCTCTTCCTCTTCTCTTCACTCGCCATCTTCCCGTTCCTCTCTCCCACTCCCTTCCCCAAATAAACCCCTTCCTTTGGAACCGGATCGGCTTTGGTGTTGTCTGTCCAAACTGCGCTCGAATTCTAACACTCAGTGTGTAAAAGCACGTGTTCCTGAGCCTGACAATCTAAATTCAATCCCTGGAACCGACATGATGGAAAGAATAAAACCTGACTTACACACACACATACACACACTTTTTAAAAACTGAATAATTAAAAAAAAAAAAACTCGTTTGTGAATCTTCTCTAGTAGCTTCCCTGAGAACCCTCACAAGGAGACAGAAACAGCTCCTTGTGATGAGAGAGGGACCCAAAGTTCACCAAGGTGCTTGTCCCAGCTCCTAGAGGGCACCAGTGTTGATCCTGGAGGTCCCAAAGGATGGGGGTCGGGGGTGGGGTGGTTCCCTATGGTTGGAAGAATTTAGATTTAGATTGTCTATAAGTGACCCAAGTGCAATTATAGATTTCTATACACATTGTATAGTGAACCAACATAAAGGACTGGTGTTCAAGGACAGAATATCAGGGCTGGAGAGATGGCCTAGGAGTTGAGAGTGCTTGCTGCTCTTACAGAGAATCAGGTTAGGTTCCTAGCACCCATGTAGTGGCTAAAGGCCTGTAATTGCAGTTCCAGGAAATCCAAGGTCCCCTTCTGGCCTCCTCAAGTATTGTGGACATACTTGGCTCAGTGGTAAAAACCTCTGTCGCTCTGTCTGACAAATGAATTCAATCCCTGGGACCCACATGGTGGAAGTAACAGACATAAACTAAACACTCACACATATAAAATAAAAATAAATATTAAAAGAGAGAATATCAGTGATACAACTTACAAGATGATAAAAGCAACTTTCCATTTAACTACTACTTGGACTCAGAATGTTCTAGCTGATTTTTAAAATATAACATAAACCCAAAGGACTAAAGGAAGCAATTCTGGGCCTCAGGTTTATTGAAATTATGACAGAATTAGATGGTTTCCTGCTGAGTGCAAGATTACTGCTGATCTGTGTATCAATTTTAATACAGATTTAAAACAATTACTTAGAACTGCTGATGCTTTGCTGATTAATCCCATTACTGAGTCTATTTTTATAGCTTTAGTGATTATCTTTATTCTCTTCTACAATATGTAAACATAAAAGAATTAAAAGAATTCTATAAGACAGCAATACAACTATAAAACTTTGACTCCTGAGCTGGGATACTGGTAGAGTTGCCTAGCAAGCACAAGTCTCTAACATCACACGGACAGAAAATTAACTCTTGAATTGATGATGTATTAAACTATTGACGATGTATCACTTCCTCTCAAAAGCAAGCCCCTTATGTCTGTAATAAAGTAACTTCTCTGTTTTGCAGTCTCATGATCACATGACTTACCATGATCACATGGCTGCTACATTATTTAAATTTGATAAAAATGTAAACCTCATTTTTTATTTTCATTCTTCTCTCATAGACTGCATTTCAAGTATAGTTTCCCTCCTTCCCCTCCCCCCAGTCTTCCTACTTCCCCTCCCCCCCACACCCCCCACATGAACACACACACCCTGCCCTGGCTCTGCCTTCTCTCAGAAAAGAGTAGGTCTTCCAGAGACATCAACCAAACACAGCATAACAAACTACAATAAATTCAGGCATGCATCTCATATTAACTCAAGACTGGACAAGGCAATCCAGTAGGAGGAAAATATGTTTTTTTTTTTTCACCATAAGTAGGCAAAAGAGTCAGGGACCCCTTTGCTCCCACTGTTGGGATTCCTACATGAACATTAAGCTACTCAGCCATAACATATTTGCAGAGGACCTAGGTCAGATTCCTACAGGCTCCCTGATCTCTTAAGTGCCCATGAATTCTGGTCAGTTGACTCTGTGGATCATGTTCTTATGGTGTCTTTGATCCATCTAGTTCCTTCCTCCTACCTCATCTGCAGAACTCCTGAGCTCTGTTGAATGTTTGACTGTGGGACTCTGCATCCGCTCTTATCAGTTGTTAGATGAAATCTCTCTCATCTCTCTGATGACAATTATGCTAGACTCCAGTCCCAGAACACTCTGAAGTCAGGACAAACTGTAGGTTGAAGGTTTTGTAACTGGGTTTGTGTCCCAATCCCTCCACTTGAGGCCTGGCCTGATAACAGAAGATGGCCTGTTTAGGCTCCATGTCTTCCTTCATTAGGAGTCTTTGCTAGGGTTATTCTCATAGATTTCCTGGAGTTAGCATTGCACTAGGTTTTTAGCTGGCCCTGAAATAATCCCTAATTCCAATTGTTTCTCTCAGTATTTTCTCCTTGTCCCTCCAACCCTACCTGTTCCAATCTGTCCTGGAAGTCTATTCTATTTCTCCTTCCCTGGGAGATCCTCGCATCCCCACTTAAACCTTCCTTGTTGCTTAAGCCTCTCTGGGTCTGTGGACTGTCACATGATTCCCTTTTACTTTACAGCTAATAGCCACTGTGAGTACACACCATGTTTGTCTTTCTGGGTCTGGGTTACCTCAATCAGGATGATTTTAGTTTTTCTAGTTCCATCAGTTTACCTGCAAGTTTCATGATGCCATTGTTTTCAGCTGCTGAATAATACTCCACTGTGTAAATGTATATTTTCTTTATCCATACTTTGGCTGAGAGACATCTAGCTTGTTTCCAGTTTCTGGCTATTACTAATAAAGCTTCGATCAACATAGCTGAGCAAGTGTCCTTGTGGTAGAATGGAGCAACCTTTGAGTATATGCCCAGGAGTGGTATAGCTGGGTCTTGAGGTAGATCAATTTTCAATTTTCTGAGTAACCACCATATTGATTTCCAAAGTGGCTGTACAAGTTTGCACTCCCACCAGCAGTGGAAGAGTGTTCCCCTTCTCCACATCCTTGACAACAGGAGCTGTCGCTAGTGTTTTTAATCTTAGCCATTCTGACAGGCAGATGATGGAATCTCAAAGCCATTTTGATTTGCATTTCCCTGCTGGCTAAGAATGTTAAACATGTAAGTGTTTCTTGGTCATTTGAGTTTCCTCTGTTAAGTCTCAACATTTTTAATTCCTAGTTTCTTTGTCATATGAAGTGCCACAGAAATTCTTCAGACTTTTACTGAAAGCAAAGGGCATGAATAGCAGTCTCACTGTGATGGTTTGTATATGTTTGCTCCAAGGTGTGGCACTATTAGGAGGTGTGGCCTTGTTGAAGTAGGTATGTCACTGTGGGTGTGGGCTTTAAGACCTTCATCCTAGTTGCCTGGAAGTTAGTCTTCCACTAGTAGCCTTCAGATGAAGATGTAGAACTCTCAAGCTTCTCGTGAACCATGCCTGCCTGGATGCTGCCATGTTTCTAACTTGATGATAATGAACTGGACCTCTGAATCTGTAAGCCAGCCCCAATTAAATGTTGTCCTTTATGAGAGTTGTCGTGGTCATGATATCTGTTCACAGCAGTAAAGCTCTAATGAAGACACTCACTATGTAGCTTAGCTAGCCTAGTACTCACTATGAAAACCAGGCTGGCATTGAACTCAGAGAGATCTGTCTGTCTCTGGCTTTGAGTATTGACATGAAAGAAATGCACTACCATCCCCACCTACACTAATTCCTAAGATTTTCATATAAATGTATTTTATTTTCACTAAAGATTAGTTTTGCACATAGTAAATATCTGAGAAAACAACCTAACACGTGTCTATGGTTAGAACAGAAATAAAAGAGATAAAAGATTGTTCCTCGAGTCTTTTTTTTTTTTTTACTTGTCTATACATAACATGAAATTTTTCCTCTGGTAATAACATCAGGAATCTTCTGCATCCTTAATACTTCTGCACAACATTTTCTCCTGAAACCATGCTTTCACACCTTTTTTTTTTCTTTTTTCTTTTTCTTTTTCTTTTTTTGGCTTTTCGAGACAGGGTTTCTCTTATGGCCCGGGCTGTCCTGGAACTCACTCTGTAGACCAGGCTGGCCTCGAACTCAGAAATCCACTTGCCTCTGCCTCCCAAGTGCTGGGATTAAAGGCATGCACCACCACTGCTCGGCTTTACACCTATTTCTTGTTTTATACTTTGTTGCTGTAACCTAACTACGTAAGCTCCAATTAAAATGAACTGACTCACCATTTAAGGTCTGTTCAGGACTGAGGAAACGGCTTCTGTTAAGTGTTCATCTCAAAAGTACAAGGACCTGAGTTTGATCCCCAAAAGCCACAAAACAAACAAGCACCCGGGTGTGTGGCAATATTTATTGTTATTCTTTTAATTCAAGTACTAGGGAGCCAGAGAAACACTGAATCCTGATCTCTGGAACCTGCTAGACAGCCAGCCTAGCCTCAATTGGCTCCAAGTTCCTTTAGAAATCCAATCTCAAAAACGCAAAGCATCATGCCTGACTGTACATGCACTCTTAATCGTTGAGCTTAGTTTCAAAACTTGGAATCAGAGTAAAGAGATGGCTCAGTCAGCAAATTGCTCACTGAACAAGCATGAGGATCTGCACTGGCGCTCCTAACACCCACCAACAAGCTGGGCACAGTGTGACACGTATCTCTAAACCTTGTGCTGGGGAGGTTGAGAGAGGTGGGTTACTGGGTGTGCTAACCATTTAGTCTAGCTAAATCTGAGGTCCAGGCTAATTGAAAGAACTGGTCTCAAAGTAATAAAGGTATACACCTGACATTGACCTCTGTCCTCCACATTGCAAACATGTGTATTCATCATACATAGACATTTTACACATAAAATTTGGAAACTTTTTAATTTTCAATTTTCTCCATGTTTGCAATACCTTCATCTAATCATTAAGCAACTAATATCATTAAAAGTGTTTTTAATGGAGAGGCAAACAGGTGAACCAGGATCTTGCTATGTACCCATGGTGGCCTTGAGCTTAATAAAGGGATTTTTCTGTCTTTGACTCCTGAGTGAGGGAGCCACGATGCCTGCTCTTTTTTTCAGTCTGATTTTTCCTTCTCCTTCTCCTCCTCCTCCTCCTCCTCCTCCTCCTCCT